ATTTTATTTTATATAAATCCTCATATTATAACTGAATAAACATGACACAATTTACAACATGTTTTATTCTTTTTTTTCCTTTCCCTCGCTTATTCCTTTCAAGCACAATGCATAAAGGCTAATGCCAAAAGTTAGAAACAGGATCAGTTTTCAGACCAACTTTGTTCTCCTGAAAAGCCCAAAGAAGATTGCAAAGGGGAAGCCTCGCCCGCACTCGCTGAAGACTGTCCACTGTTTTGGTAACATCATCATTATTTTCTTAGCTATACGTCTCTCTACATCTTCACATTTAATTTGTTATTGCAAAACATGTCAAAAAAAGATATTCTCTCCTATCCAAAGTATAAACATTTTCTTTTAGTCAATTTTAATTCAAAATATAATTACGTTAGCACTGGTAAAAAAATTCCGCCATCTTACTATTTGTATTATTTATTAACCTAGATTTTTATATTTGTAAATTTATGACATTCTTTTCATTCATCATAAATTGCAACTAAGGATATAAAATAAAAATAATATATATTTTTATGAGAATAAATATTTTATTGGCATGTAGATGATTATTAAAAGGTGCTTATATTTTATATTGAAGGGAGTACTTGATAATGAGGTCCTAAAAATATGTCTACTAAATATTAATCTGTAAAAAAAGCAATTTGATGGATGACCAGCCAGTGTGTGCGTACAAAATTATTTCATATCGATATCCAGTTAATATATTTTGACGTGTTGGGTTTACATATATTCCCCTTAAGAGGTACCCAAGAATCCAATCTCCGTGAATATTACTTCTAGCCGCAATAAGACAATAGTGGGCAAAGTTGAACCATCCATGTCTTGCTTTAGAAAAAGAGCATGAAATGAAGATGAATAAAACTTTAAAAATGGAGAATATGATCAATCAAAATGACATAACGCAATTTGAAAGCAAAATTCTCAGACAAGAGAGAAGAAAATTGCAAGTGAGATTATTTTATTTTATTATTTTCGTGGAGACTAAAGAGGGATTCCCGACATGCAATTGCAAGCAGGCAAGTCGTGCAGCAAAGTAGCTTTGATGAAATAAGTATCCAATGAGCTGTCGACATTTTTCTCCACTTTTTGGCTGAACTAGAGTTAGCACTGGATAAATGGACTACGAGTTAACTCGTGAGCAGATATTTTTATGAATTGAATTGGGTCAACCTACTAAATAAAATGAATTAAAAAATTTAATCAAACTCATTTTTTAATGGGCTAACAAACATGCGGATTGGCCCACAAAAAATTATCAAATTTTTAAATAATTTAAAATTTATATAATATATATATATATATATATATTCATATTTTAAAGTAAATTAGCAATTAAAAAATTTGTAAATAAATAATATATATAGAATTCAACCAAAAAAATTTATTTTGTTAAATTTTTACTATCAATTATCTTTTCGCTTAAGTGTGCTATCTTTGTCACTGAGAAAAAAATTTAAATACAAATTCATATTATTTTTTTCAGTGAATTTATATTTATAATTTCAATCAATAAATCTTATGAGATTAATAAATAATATATATTCAAAATATTTCTATAAAAACTAATAAATCATCTTCACAAACTATAATAAAAATTTTATTTGCAAATTTTAAAAAGAATTTACATTATATTTCAAATATAAAGAACATATTTAAAAGTCATAAATTATATATTTAAAAAATATTCTTATTATTGTAGATTTATAAAATAATATAATGTGATTAAAACATAAAAAATTATTTTTTTAAATATGCTAGCTTGTGGGCCAACCTGTTTTAACCCACTTGTTTTTTAGGTTAGGCTAGTCCAACCCATTTTAAAAAATGAGCTAATTTTTTTAACTCAATCTATCAAATTTTGCAGGTTAAACGGACTAGCCCGCGGGTTCAATTTATTTTCCTGGCTCTATCCATGATACATTTTCTTCTTCCATTTGATACAAATTTCTTCTTGTGTCCCTTGATCGTCATTAATCTGTTAAAGTTGCATGAAGAATGTCAATGATACATAAATTTAAATGCATTCAAAAACTCCTTGATCCTAAATGTATGAGCCGATAACTAATTTATAGATATTAAAAAATTAATTGAATTAGTTATTTGAAAAAAAACCACTATTAGTTTTTTAAAATTTTTTTTCTTCAATCACTTGCATTGGAAACTATCATCATTGAAAGAATTCTCTTTTAATTATCAATAAAAATATTTTAAAAATTATAAATTTAGAAAATAAAATGAATAATCTTAAATTTAAAAAATTTCAAAAATAGATGAAGCATTCTCTTCAAACCACGATATAAATCATTCTCTATAAATTTTGTTTGGTTTAAACTATAACATATTGGGTAGGTGTTATATATATATTTTTTAAACCCTTACTCTAATGAATAATTAATGAAGGTATTTTGAATAAGTTAAGTGTTATACTATCTTTTCATTCCAAATTATAATGTATTTTTGAACAAAATTTCATATATTAATAAATAATACACTCAACAATCTTATATGTTCGGACAAAGTAAAAATATAAACCTCCAAAAACAATCTTAATTTAATATATTGAATAGAGGGATAGAAATGAAATAGATAGAGAAAGAATAATATTAAAATATGACTATGTAATAAAATATTAATTTTTTTAAAATGTTTTATACTTTAAAAGGTTGAATACTTTATAAGTGTCTTATAATTTGAGATGAAATGAGTATTTATTATACTTAAGGCATCATTGGAAAGATGTAAAAATTTTAAAAAATTAACATCTTAACTAATTTTTTTAAAATATAAATTAATTAATAATGATTTATATTGTATGCTTGCGGGGGAAGAATTGTTACATGTGTTCATCGTGCAAGAGCCTCGTAACGGCCATTATTGTACGTGTTGATAGCTCAGCAAAAATAGTTGCTAAAAGCCTAAAACATTAATTTTCATGCGGCTAAATAAATCAATGTTAAATTATGTGCTTATTATTTCAACAGGAAAGAAAAAGGAAAAAATAGCAATTAAGAATTATTGAAATAAATTTATATTAATTAAGAATTAATTATTATCAAAACTTAAATAAAATATAAATTTAAATTGATTATTATTAATTTAAAATAAATTATTATTAAAACTTGAATGAATATTTATTGATTACATAAATTAATAAATATTTATTTAAATTTTAATAATAAATGAATTTTAATTGATATAAATTTGTTCCAATGGTCATTAATTTGTTTTTAAATAAAAATTTCAAGTTGCGGGACTCCACGTGTAAAGCACGAGCGAGGCAAATGAGTCATATCCTTTAATACGCTGTTTACTGCTTAGGTTGTTATAAATGCATCAATCTTGTTCAAGGTATGAGCATATTCTATATACAAGTACTCTGCCGACTTGATGCCCGAGTCTTTATTTCTTGCCGAATCTATCTGGCACTATAGACTTCTTTTCTGCAATTGGGCACTTTGGAAATCAGGTATAGTTTCTCATAGCCTTGGTTTTAAAATCTTGAATTATAGTTTTTATGCAATTCAAAAATGTTAGTAGTAATATCTTCCAAAATAATTACCATTTTGATAAGTTGTGCATATGTGTTGATTTAAGTCGACGTGAGTCTCACGTCGGTATAATTAGGGTTAGTAATTATTCATAGATAATAAAATAAAAAAAACTCATAAATTTAAAATTTTAATATTTTGAGCGAAGAATTGATAATTTTCTTTTCTTCTTACTCCTTTGTTCTCTCATTTTTAGCTGATTACTTTTCATTTTTAATAAAATTTTTTAATATTGATATATACTTTCAGAGCAAGGATTTTTAACTATAATTTTATCTTACATTATGCTCCTGATATGATCTTCTGATTACAAAGAACAGTGTCTGAAAAGATTGTGAAAGATTTGAGTTGCCTTTTTGATTGGATATGAGATTGAAAGCAGAGGAAGGTCTGCATTGGCAGGACAGGAATAAGGATATATTTGAAGTGCCGCGTCTGAGCCAAGAACAGTTCAAATTTCCTTTTTCTTGTTTTTTTCTCCTTCTTTTCGTTGGACCCAGCATGAAGAAAGCTTTCCTTCTTGTTTTTGAATACATTTTCCTAACAGTCATTAAACGTCCTTAAGGAACCCCAGGCCATTATTATCAACACGTCGATAATAATATCAGCATTATAAAAATACGCACCATGTCCAATTTTAATAGTAGAACCTTGTTATCTAATTTACATAGATTAAAAAAAAATTATTCTTTTTTGAAATCAATTTGTTAACAATTCATGATGGTTTTCCTAAAATACCCCTTCAATTATTGACTTTTAATCATTTTGAAATTTAAATGAGTAATTTAAGGGGAAAAAAATTAAGGTGGTAAAAATAGCGAGCGGGCAGGCATTAAGAATCAAACTAAACTTTTCAACCAGCTTTTTAACTATTTCTTTGGCGAAAAAATAAACTAGCATTTATATTCAGGAGCAGAGAGAGGATCTATGTTTAATAAAACTACAATATAGCATACAAAGAAGTGACTTAAAAACCGGAAAAGGGCAAAATTTGAATTTGAGTTTATTGGGATAACGACAAGAGGGAAGCATAGGCCATGAAAAGTCAAAACCCAGAAAGCAGAATTAGAAGAAAAAGGAAAAGGGAGGAAGCAGAAGCCTGCCACATTTAATTCAGGAACACCAAATTCGGGGACAAGCGTGGGCTTGCATTGTCATTTCAGCTTTTGTTTCAGTGGCCCCCATCACCTATCTTTTGATCTTCCTCTTCTAAATTTCACAACTATTATACACAGGTACGGTTATTATACACAAATGTGTAATAGAAAAGTTATTAAATTTTAATTACATTAATCAACGAATAACTTATAATTTACTTTTACTAATCTTTAAAATAATTCAACGAAGAATCTTTAGGGTTTATCCTCAGATATAGGCTTCTTATTCTCTGCAGAGAATATAAGGGGGAAAAAGAATAGTGTGCAACAGTGTAAGTGATGCTTGATGTTAGACTGGTGATTTTCATAAATGAGATTACAAGGTCAGCCCAATATCATATGGGCCACTTAAAAAAAAAAAAAACGGGGGATTACATACGACAAGGGTCACTGCATCTGGTAGAAGCTTACACCTTTGGGAGGGAAAGAGGGAGAGGCTTCTAGTTCACTCAATTTATATTTAAATTTCCCCCAATTCACCTCCTTTTGCCCCTATAATCCCACCTATCCCAAATGTCAAATTAATATATTATACCTTAGACGATTGCCCAAAACTTTTTTCTACAAATTAAAGCAGTTTCCATCTTCTTGTCTTTGTTCTGTAGAGAATGTGACTCCACATCCCATAAAAATTTTGGGGCGATCTCTTGGATTCTTGACAACATATGATCCTCATCCCTAATGATGATGAATCCCTGCATTGATGTTATTCGTTTGGTAAGTAGTAGCAACAGCCAAGGAATTATAAATAGAAAAAAACTGCAGTGTAGCATCAGAAACATGGATGATAATAGCAGTTATAATAATCTTCATCATTATGAATTGACAATTAACAATAATTGTAAAAAGTGGCACTGGTGTCAAGCAATTAATTACCAGAGGGCGAATTAGACGATCCATCTCAAGCAAGATATCCTCTAGCAAGCATCTTTCCGGCTGGTTATTGTAGTGGGAGAAGAGGTGGTAGGCATGCACCAAATCATATGATCGAGGATAGCTTGAGAAGGGGTCACACCTAATTATGTAAATATATCTTAAATTAGCTTCTGGTGCTGCTAACTCATATTTTTATAGTGTAAAAAATCAAATGTCACAAAAAATCTATAGGATATTTTACCAATCATGATAAGTTCCAATGAGTCCTCGGCCATAAATTCCAGATAAGGTATTGAGCATGCTTGCAGGAACTACATTCATCACCCAAACAGAAAAATTATTCAGTGCTGCGGCAAAACCACCGAAATAGGCATTCATGTCCATCACATTGCGTACTTCTGTCTCTTTGACATTCATCAGTTTCAAGTACTGACGAATTTGATCTTCCCAGAACAGACTGTCTGATGTAAATTCATCTTGACTTATACCTGTTGTAAAAGTAGGGGAAAAATTATTGCTTTCAATTGAAAGGCCTCTCAATGTGATATGTCTAATTCATAATATGATGGAACGTCATAAATATCAAAAGATTAGAGTTTAAAAGATTGAGGGATGAAAATTGATGTGAAGAAATTTCCAGGACCCATTGACATGAAAAATGGGCTGACCTATCCTGCTCAGGCTCTCAGAAAACATGGAAAGGCGTTCAGGTTGTGGAGGAAGCTTGTGAGACTCTCTTTGAGAATTTCTAACTTGTACACAGTTCCTCAGCGGGATGTTCCATGAAGGCTTAGAATCATCTACAGCATCGCAAAGACTTATAAGCTTTCGTTCAGCATTTTGCTGGAGGCATGACGGGTCATCGTCTTTAATCATATGGCTGTCTGAATTTTTCGAGCAATGAGCCTCCAGCACATTGCTGTTGTCAAAGTCATCATCTTATCCCAAATAACAGGAAAGTCCTTATCTCTCTTATAAGCAGGGGGAGCCGAGTAGACAAAATACCCCTTAGAACGAAGAAGGCGATTCAGCTCTTTCAACAAAATCCCATCTGCAGAAAATAAAGTGATTTAGCAACATTAAAACATTAAGGATTTATTAAGACAAGGCTAACCCCATCAATACTTGTGGCAGCCCTCAACAAGAATATGTCCCATATACTAAAATAATAGAGTGACAATGCACTGGTCATAGGTTGGTTTTATATGATCGATCTAATTAGCGAGTTTTTTATAATAGTACAATGGTGAAACATAAAACCGCTGCTTTATGTCAAAATATTGATAGTTGCATAATCATCTAAGCTGATCTGCATTGCTGACACTATTTCAATGTCAATTTCGATTCCTTATGTGCAATCAAACACCAATATATAAACAAAATTAAGATGGGCTAATTACCATTTTCATGCCAGTCTATACGGCATCGTGAGCAGTGAATCATTTCAAATGAACTAGAAGGATATGGTAGTTGCCTTGTTGCTAATGCAGCAATCATTGCAGCAATTCCCCGCTCTAATGCAAATTGAATCTGATTCTCATGAACATCCTTGGGTGCAAAAGACATTGTTTGTATACCCAAGGGAAGAAGATAAGCAGAAAAACTGGCCACGCCACAACCAACATCCAGAACTTGGTTCACCCCTGCGGAACGCAGATCACCTCTACCATTTGTTATCATAACTCCTAACCTGCATCAATGAAGGCACCAGATAACTAACATAATTGGAAAAAAGACCATGTATTGACAGGTAGTTTACTTGTGTAAAAATCACCCTTAAAGAGAGAAATACAGATACCTTTGAATGTACTCAGGTGCTCCATGCTTGAAATGAGTGCCACCCCCAGGAAACCACCAAAGCTGACCTTTCTCATGCACCCAATTTTGGCCTCCTTTCACGTCCGCCAGAACAGAATGATTCACGTTGCTTCGCCAAACATAATCCCTACTGATAGGCCATCTAATAGGTGTTTTATAATCCTTTGGTGGCGGAACTAAGCAAAACAAGCGCTTTTCAAGAGGAGGACAATGCCTCTCCAGTTCTTCTTTTCTAGAATAATCTACGTTTTGGAGCCCAGCTACAAAGGAAAAATCATGGCAGGGAATATACTCGTTGTACTTCAAAAGGCATACGTCCATCCCAGTTTCAGGAATCAGTAGGGGTGTTTTACGATAAGTCAGAGCAATTCTGTTAGTGAATCTGGATGAGCCTACATGAGTAATAAACCTTTTAATACTCATCAAAAAGTTGCAGAGCAAGTTTTAATTAAAACACAGTTTTACAGAAGTCATCAAATGACAAACACCAATGCAGGTTTTCAACTTTGCATTGAGAAAAGAAAGAAAGAGAAAAAGCTAGTTAACTATTTGGTTAATCACGTATCCTGACAAAATCATGATTCTTATTGCTGAGATATCAAACTAGAAGGCAGAGAGCAATTGTTATTGAATAAAAAATATCATCGGCACTGTCTGGAGCGGATGTGACACTTGGATTTGACAGCGTTTACATCATTCTAGGATCTAAAAGGAAACTAGTATACATTTAATTAATTTATGAAAAAATTAAAGATGCTTGACATAACATATCAGCTAAATGGCCTAGATGAATGTGACATTTCTAGAAACTGAAAACAAGTGGCATGCTCCATATAGCACGAACCCAGAACCAAGAAAAGCAACATGAACGCCAACGATAAAACCGATTAAAACAAGATACGAACTTCACTCATACGCAGAAATTGAGTCTCTTAAAAGTTACCAGGAGAAGAAGAACGAATAGAAGACTTGGAGAGGATCTGGGAGGCATAAATAGGAACATTGTTGCGAAAAAGGGTGCCCGCATAAAAGGAGACAATCATCAGCAGCAAAGCCACCATTATCATCTGCCCAGATTTGGAATCAAATGCCGAACTCATCGACAACCCACCCATCGTCTCTTCCTTCTAGCCTTTCTCGCACACAAATGGTGTTGCTTTGCTTGTAATTGTGAAAATGAAAATATCATACGACAATGCCTCCTCAATGGGCGTTACAAATTGAGAGATCTCCAGCTTCAAATAGAAAGGAAAATGAGTAGATGCGTGAGCTTGCACAACAGCAACCTGCTTATTTCTACACTGTGACCGAGACTTATATCGATCGCATGTAAGATTGCGTTCCATTCTCGCCTTTTATATTGACAGCAAAAATAGAAAGCTATTCCTCCAAATATCCAATATTTTGTATTATTCGATGAGGGTTGAATTGAAGGGTGCAATTCAGACGAACTCTGGAAGTTGCGACCAAGAATGATATAATCCCTAAAAATGATAGATTATTCAAGTGTTTAACTTTTTGTGTTATGGCCAGAAAACGGAATTATTTATGGACATCGCATTAACTCAACTTGAAAATTACAATTTAAAATATCGTATCAATATGCGTAAAATACTATATAAAAATATAAAGTATCCAAAATGCCCTTACACGAAATGCATATCCAAAATACCCTTCTTCAAGAGCTGCTTCTCACCGTGTTGTTCGGCTTCACTTCTTCAAAACCAAACTTGGCATAATCTAGAAATTTTATCAGATTCAAAACCCAGAAATTTTACCAACCACATATTCAACTCAATCCATTTTTAATTTCACTCGGACTTAAACCCATAAGCAAATATAATAAAGAAAAATGGTTTGTCCGCCGAGGAAACCTTCAAGAGAGGTTGGCTCGCGGAAGAACATGAAAGAAAGATCTCGTAGGGAGTTACCATGAAAGAGCCATTGCCTCGGCCATGTCCTTAAAACGGTGATTCCGTGCCGTGGAAGAAGTGCATCGGAGAAGTTATTGCCATAGGAAATGACTCACAACCGTCAATCAATGAGCGAAAACCAAAGTTTGAGGAGCAATGATGAAAGAGGTGGAATCTGGCTTGCGTAGCAGTGGAGAGACGGCTGCTGGAAGCAGTGTCGAGAAGGAAGGAAGCGGCAAGTGGCAGAAGCTGAAGCGACATTCAGGGGCATTTTTGTCTTTTAACATCTCTTCCCAACCTTGGAAAATGCTGTCACCGGTAATCGGATGGAAGCTCTTTTCAGCCAACCAAGACTTTAAAAAAAGAAAACAATTAATCATTTTAATTCAATTATAATTCAACTACTAAATTTTGTTTTTAAAATTTTACCTGATAATTTAATTTTTATAATTTTAATTATTTAAAATATTAATTTATATATTTTAAAAAATAAAATTATAAATGTTTACGTTATTTTAGAGAGTAAGAAATTATTATTTTAGAATTTCGAACCTATTTCACTATGTCCTTAAATTTCAAATTTTTTAAAAAATTAAAATTAAAATTAAAAATCCTATAAAATCAGTAATTATACTTAAAAATTTTGAATTATTAAAATTTTAATAATTGATCATGATCTTTATTTTAAATTAAAAACATAAATTTAAAATTAAGTAAAAATATTACTGAAATTACTATTATGAGTTGATGTTATTGTTAAATTGAAGTTCACTCATAAAAATTTTGAAAAACACTTATAAATATATTATAACCATTTAAAAATTTGTCAAAGTTACTTTTGAATATGAAACTAATCACTTATGATTTTTTTTACTTTGTCAATATATGTGTAAATCACCTATAAAACAAAAAAAAATGACACCACTAAAATTATTACTATTGGTTAGAACTATTATTAATCTCAGTTAAAAAAATTAAAATTTTAAGTGTTATAGATTAAAGCTACTAAAATTACTATTATGAGTTGAAACTGTGGTTAATTTTAATTGTGAACATTTTATTTTTAAGTGTGGATTTTTTTTTTCAAGTGAGATTAACAATAGTATCAATTCATAATAGGAATTTCAACAATGCCTTTTCATGATTTTAAACTCATGTATTTTAAATTTTAAATAAGGACCATGATTCATCATTGATATTTTAATAATTCAGAATTCATAATTGTAATTAATAATCTTATAAAGTCTTTAATTATCATGTTCTTTAAAAAATGCATTTTCAATTTTTTTCAAAAAATTCAAAGGTAATGGTCGATACTTTATTGAAAGAGTGACAGTTAGGTCCAAAAATTATAAATTAATAATATTTAAGTTTTTAATTATTTTTTTAAAATAAATTATAAATATCAATTTAAACATTTATAAATAGCTATTACAATTTAAAAGTTATATTTAATATTTAAATACTTATCTGTAATTAAAACTCTTACATTTATATTAATTTAAATTGATATTTTCAACTTACTTTTTAAAAAAATTATTGAGAACTTAATTAGTTAATTTATTATTTTAAGATCTAACTGTTATTTTTTGTGCTTTATTTCACCTTTTTTTTTCTTCCATTTTCTTGAACGTGCATTTTTTTATTATACTTGAGTTTTTTTTTTTTTTCAGTTTTGCCAAACACTCCTTTCAACAGGAAATTATTTTTAAAAGTTTAATTTTATTTTTATAGAGATTAAAATTTTTAATAATTTAAAATATTGGTTTTTAAATTTTAAAATAATTTTATTTTTAGAAAAAATTAAGAACTAATATTTAAAATAGTTAAAATTACACAGACTAAGTTATATTGTGTCAAAATTTAGGTATTAAGTTGCAATTAATTTAACACTGTGTGTATTTTAGTTTTTAATTTATCAAAATTTTATTTTTTAAAAATTTATTTGACAAAAGTTAATTCAATAAAAGTTAATTTGTAATAAAATTTGTATTTAGATATATTTTTTTAGAAGTCAGTTTAATGAATTGAAAGTTATTTAAATAACATAGGATGAAAAGTACATTTAAAAGTAATAAAAATGTATACATCATATAAAATTTGAAATATTTAAATTATAGAAAAAATATATCTATATGTCTTTATAGCTTGTTTCAATTTTAAATTAGTTATCTATAGTTTTTTTTTTGAATTAGGTCTTTTATAACTTGAAAAGTAATTTTTTTTGAGAAAATAAATAATTCATTATTAATTTAAACTTACAGGGATTAATATACCTAATGGATCAAACTATAAGACTTTAATTAAAAAAAACAAACTATAGGGACTTAATTTAAAATTGAGAAAACCATAAGAACCAACAGATTAATTTTTTCTAAAATTAAATGAGCAATATAAAACATTTTTAATAGTTATTCTTTACGAAAATTTATATATAAATAATTCAAAAACCTCACTTTTGTATTGTCCCTTGGTCACAACTCACCTGAGATTCACAAGGGCATGATATTTCATTATTTCTTCGTGGCTTTTGGTCTATATGTGTTATCATTATTTTATTCAATTATTATTATTATTATTATTATTAATGTCATTATTTAATTTTTACTTTACCTCTCTCCTCTTTCTCACAAACAATGAGGCTTGAAATGTGCTTTTAAAAAGCTCTCCCAAATCCAGTTGAGAAAATCCACTTCTAATTACATTTTTAATGTGCCTTTATTCAAAAAAATTAACCAAATAGCTTTTAATTTTTCAAAAGTGCAAATCCACTTATCAAATGTGAAATTGAGAGTACCCAAATGAACTTTATAAGAATCAAATTATAACAAGTTAAAGTTTAAGAATTAGGTTACAATTGAGTTAAAATTTTAAAAATTAAATGATTAATTTTTCCTTATATTTTTATGGTCTTTTCTTTGTTTGGTTGTCCTAATTTGATTCTGGCATGTTTTTAAATAATTGAAATTGGGATAATTCAAAATACTCTTATCATGTATTGTATGTATTTTTGCACAATATTTTTCATAAGAAAATTGCATAAAAATAATCAAAGTAATCTATACATAAACATTCACCAAAAAGACAATATACTTGTCATATCATTATTAATAAATTATATGTTTATTTAAAATCCATTCGAAAACTCAACGAGGATTTTAAAAAGAGAATCTGTTTTTTTTTTTAAAAAAAATTGTAAACAGTATTATTTACCCAAAGCGACCAATAGTCCAAAGCTTTATAGGGGCAGGGGATTCAGATCACCTCAATTGCGTCAGGTGCGGTGCCTGGAAGTGTCAAAACCATAGCTTTCGGATTGATCTCGTGATTGGGAGAGGGGTTGATATAAAATTAAGGGAGAATGGTGTTAGAATCTCAAAACAATAAATTTATTATAGACAAAATTTCCTAAAAAAGCAGTTGTAAATATTAATTTAATTAGTTATAAATTTAAGAGTTCTAACTATAAATAAGACATTTAAATTTTAAATATAACTCAATTTCTAGTTAAAATTCTTGTTTGCAATTATTTCAATCAATATTCACAAATTTTTTTTATTTTATCAAAAGCTTAGATGTTATAAATTTGCAATTTTGGGACTTTATTGCCATCCCCGGAAATCAATTTACCTACTGCCAAAATACAATACACGCGCATATCTATCTGTGCGGATGTTCAAACAGTTTTCTTCTATGGAGGGATACATAGCACTAATGAGCTTTCCTTGTTGGAGATCATGCTTGTGTGCGTTTGAGTTCGTCTATGTTCAAATCCACTCCTTTGAAAAAAAAAAAAAAGATTGGCAGGCTCATAATTTTTTTTTTTTTGCCAAAAAGCAGGCTCATAATTGTTGCTTCTCAGTTTTTATAATATGATTAGTGTTTGCAGTATTTGCAAACTAGCAGAGCATCTAGAGCATTATCCTCCCCTCCCCTGTTTCGTGAAATATTGTCGCACACTGAATTAATAATCTAAATCCTTATTTGCCAGAGACAACAATAAGAAATAATGACGTTGCCCGAATTTGTCCTCCAAGAAGAACGAGCAATTTGGCATGTTTTCCGCACATAGCAAATTAATTTACACCACCATCCCAACCACGAGATCAATCTTGACATGACAGCTACTACGCCGAATCCGGGGAGGGATGGAGGAGGAATGAACAAGTGAATCAGGGACGATGATCGACGTAAAGTTAAAAGCGGAAACCTTTTATTTTTCCCATTCTTACATGGTTAATAAAAATTGGGCAATTTCCGTTTCCCCTAGTTGATCCCCTTTTTTGTTATAAAGATTACCCTGATTATCCACAAAACATCTCAAGTTCTTTTTTTCTGCTTTAAGAGGGATGCTGCACGCAGCACAATCCTATCAACTTCATCAAGCTTGGGCAAGTCCACATCTTCCATGGACTTGGAGTTTTTGGACTTCAAAGATATTTGTCGCAAGTGCTCCTCAAAGTCATCGATTTCCCCGTCATTCTGATCTGGAAATTTCTCAAATTTGTCCAAATAAAGAGGCCGTTCCTCTTTTACTTCGTTCTCCGAGTCAATCTCAAAGAGGTCTGATAAATCTTCGGGATCTGTATCTAATTGTGTGTCAATATCAGTTTCATCCTCCGGGCACTTGCTGTTCTTGTTTATTATCTCATGAAGTTTATCTGCATTTCCTAACTGGAACCTTGTAACGCTACCGGATTCAATACTCTCATTGTCATCAATTTTCTGGTTTTCCTCAGCAGCATCTATTTTGCTATCGGCTTTGCTCTTGAGCTGTGCTTGAAGCATCTCAAGCTCTTGCTCAAGTCTCGGAATATATCTCCTCACAGCTCGAAGGCCATCTCTACACTTGGATTTGTCCAATGCCTGCATGAGAAATTAAGAATGAAGTAAATATTAATGCTTCTGACAATACTGCAGCTGCTAAAGATACGTGAATACAAGAATGGGGATGGTCCTAAAAGGATGGAAAGAAGGTTGCATGCGTTTTCTCTTAGTGCTCCATCGTGTGGCAATATCTCAGTAAATAAGATCCACTAAACAAAATAGTCATTTTTCAGATGAAACGCAGTAGCAAAGCAATTGGTAGCAAGAATTCATTGTATTTTTTCAGCATAAATTTGAATGACAATGTGAAAACTGCTAAGTAAGGATACCAGTCACTCAGTCGTGAGAAATAACGGCGAATTTCCAGCTGTGTTGCCTTGAAGTTTTGCAATTTCCAGTAATGGAGTCAGACCCAAAAACAAACAAATGAAAAAAAAAAAAAACAGTGAGCACCTCCGACTGCTGAGGAGGGGAATTTGAGACATCAAATATTCAAATCTATGTGGACACTTCAATCTATTACTCTAATAAAAAAGGGCCAAAAACTGAACAGAGGCTTGGACCAAAAAGAGAAAAGGACATGAACAAAGCCACCATACCTTCTTCCTTGACAGGGTAACCCGGGGAGACATTATCTCAGTTGGTGGCTGAGAATAGTTCTTCCCCCTGTACATTATTATTGTGTCATCTTCATGAATGTCAAGCACGATCCCTCCAGTCAGTCTTGCCAGCTCTGCAGCAATCTCCTTGACCTCCTCTGGCGTAAATGTCTTCACCACCACTTTCAAAGTCTGGTGTTTCTTCCAGTGCAAATGCATGTTCAGAATCACACCTTGGTATATTCCACGTCTTCCAACAGGCACATAATTTTTACATTTGAGGCCCATCTTTAGGAAGAAAAAGTGCTCTTCTGGCGTCAATATCTCAGGATCATGGGTTGTTTCCGATGATTCTGCAGGCTCAATCTTCTTCAGAGCTTCAAGAAGCCTCTCTTCTTTTTTCCTAGCCTAGAACAGTGAAGAAAGCATTGAAAATTGATTAATTGATGCAACTGACAGACATTAAATACATTTTGGTAAACCAAAAGCCCAGCTTAACACATGTTTTCTTAATCATGAGGCAAAAAAAGAAACACTACAGTCAACGTGCCACCCAATTCATCTGTGGTCCCACCCTCCATTCCCAAACACAATACTAGTGTGCTGTAATGCTAACGTTAACAAAAAAAAAAAAAAAAAGTCTTTTATCCTGCTATATTATATAGCTTTGCTATGTATTTTTTAACTTGTGCCTAGTTGCATCTGACTATTCAAGCAGCAGGCCACCAGTACAAGAAAGGAGGTTGGGTAAATTCAGGAGATTGTTGGAGGCCAATGGATTTTGAATTAGAGGAAAAGGAGAAGTTTTTAGAAGATAGTGGGGATCACTGCTGGTTATTGTCTGATCATCCTCAGTTCCATTGTCATTCTTATGATATAATTTAGAGAGACCTCAGGCATACCAGCAACATATATTATCCAAGAGAGAATCACATTCAAGGACCACTTAAGATTTAAGAAACTTATTTGCAAATAAGGATCAATACAGAATGGACTATAAAAATAGGAACTTGGATTTGTTTTTTCTCGAATAGGACTTGTCATTAGTCCTTATCTGCAAATAAGTTTCTTGACTGGTCCTTGGATGTGATTTTCCCTATATCCTATCATATTCCAAATTATACAAAGTGCCAATAGCCATATCACATGTGCAACCATTGCATATCGTGAATTAGGTAATGCTGGGTAAGACTTTCTCATGGCATGCCATCTCAAAAAATAACTTAAAAAGCTTTAAAGATCCAAAAGTGATTGATCCAGGATTGATAAGACGCCATAGTAAGCAAAAGGAGTATCTCACAAATTCCCGGACATTCAGACCTGCATGAACAGCTATCATGTATGGAATACAAGTCAAGTGAGTAGTAACTGAGTATTGAGCACTCATGATCTAAATAAACTCAAGGATTGCGGAATCATAAACCTTCAGAACCTTTCACTTAAGATAAGTTTATCATAATTACGTTTGACATTTGACGCATAAAATCATATTGATGTATTCAAAACCAAGGGTAAGAGCACGCCATGGATAGAACTGCTAGGGTTGACCTTATTAAAGGACAAGGAAAAGTTAGCTTTGTGCAACTCAGAATGCTATAACACGAGAAACCTCACTGATTAACTTATACCCACCCTCTCGCAGAGGAAAAAAGAATAAAATATACCCCTCCTTTACCAAAAAAAACCTGAAACTTCCTAGTATCCCATGTGACACTTTTTCCTCTACATAGACACCTACTCCAGCCAACCCAGCAGCAGTCTCTTTGATCTCCTCTAATCATGCACAAATTTCGACCATTAAATATTTGCAAAGATGGCAAGGAGTTTGCTCTTTTCCTTGCTATCTAATGTTCTAATCTGCTGGGGAAGCTGTGGAAAATCAAATCCACATGAATCTGGTACACTCAACATACCCAGCACATTACATTTAGCCCAGGAACTCCTCAGTAGCAGCATTAACATATCACAGTTCATTGCCAATTGTATCCACATGAAAGACAGAGACCGAGTTCCATAATTACTAATTAGTAAGACAAAGCCCCTTCTAGAATAGAGGATTCAAAAGAAAACCTAAAAAAAATCCTCTGCTGCTAGGCCTGGAAAAGTCCACCACCTCCTACTGGAGCAAACTCTTTTAAGAGGTTCAACCCTACAGTCATATCACAATCATAATATGATCAACTGTTCCTTTTATTTCTCTGGCCTGCCATACTTAAAATTAGTCCACCAATCCTACAATTTAGAAAAATATACCCCACAGGAGAATTATGCAATTAGAGAATAAGTAAACAACAATAAGAAACTTAGAACTATGACCATGTAAGAGACAAGACATGGAGAATAAATCCACATGGCAAAGAGGACTTGTAACCAAACTTTGTAATATAAACAGATTCTTCGATCAATAAGTTTTATTGAATCACGAAAATGAACACATGAAATGCCAACTGACTATTGGAGCATCCGCTGAAATATAGAAATTATAAAGGCAGAAAGAGATTGCTTTTACAAAGGCTTTCCTTTTCATACCTAACTTTGTTCATGCTAGAATTTTAAGTTGAGAAATTAGATCTATTTAGCATGCAATTTTGAATTGGGAATAAGGGAATCTACTCAAGAAAATTCTTTGTCGACAGAATATCAGTTGGTAATCATGTACTAATCCGATTGTATTCTCCACAAAACAAATTCCTATGCGAACAAGATGACAACACTAATATATGGTAGAGTTTCAAAGAACAAGATTTTTTCCTATCATGAAGTTCACCATGTTAGGGAACTTGTCACATGTTGAACATTAACCTAACAAATCCCTTTTCATGAAAGGAATATGAGTGCAAGTTCTGTTCAATTCAATCTAAAAGGTAAAATAAAAGCTGCTTCATGTTGAATGCAATAGGAAACAAGAAAGTGTAGCCACATAACTAGCATAGTGGCACAAGAGGAAAAAGAGCCAGACTCAGAGTATTTGAAGACAACGGGCAAGTGTTGATGGTGCAAATTAAATTGGGATAGAAATGCACCAACAACAGTTGCTTGGGCAAGAAAACAAGAATTTACCTTCCTCAATTTGTATAGTATTTTTTCTTCTGCAGTCATTCTTTGGTACTCTTTCTTCTTCTTCCATCTAAAGAGCTTTAGCCACCTTACAACTGCTCTTTTCCCCTTTAGTTTCTTCCTCTTTATTTTGCCATTGCAAGCACCAGTGACAGTTGAAGACTTTTCAGAATCCTGAAGTGGCTCTACAACTTTATCATTAGACTTCAGGCATGGACCTGAATGAATGCATAGGTGTCCTGAGAAAGGAGATGTTTTTATGTCATAGTGGCAGCCGAAACCAGACTCCTGACTACAAGCCTTGCTTATCAAAGAGTTCAAGCTACTGCAGTGCAGAAGATTCAACATTACAATATCAGACATCTTTGGACTGATTTATACCCTCCGAAGTGTATACTAAAATCAACAATGTAATAAATCGCTGCAATAACATTCATCTTCACTATTTGCATTCTAATAGATATGTTACATCTTGCTTCAGAATTTTGTATAATCACGTGCCAGGGCCCTCTCCCATTGCTATTTATATAGATGAAATATAACTGCATAAGTAGGGGCGAAAATACAATTGCCATACATAGCTTTGCACTTCCTAAGCATCATAATCATAAATCATAAAAAGATAAATATAGACAAGTTTTTCTAAGAAAAAAACAACCCAAGGAGAAAAAAAAAAAGACATTGAAAATGCCACGTAGTCGATCAAATTACTCAATCACCAATATAAATTCAACTACTGTTTAATAATTTCTCTCTCGTTTGTAAAGGTGAGGTGAAAACACAACAAAGAGAAAAGTACCTGGTTCTGCGAAGTACACGACGGGAAAAGAGTGGCAGAAAGAGCAAAGTATTTGAGAGATTCTTAAACGAGTGAGATTTACCGGGCGCTAATGACGCCAAAACCCTCCCCGCCATCTTTCTCTCCGCCTCGTTTCCTTTTGTCACATTCCCTCTCTTCTTCCCGCCGAAATTGTTATTCTTGCAGCAGGCATTTTGTCGAAAAGGTAGAGAGGCTAATATGGAATTTTTCCCCCAATCTTAATTTAGAGACTAAGCGCCATCCTTCAAACCTCAACACGACAGTCCTACTATCAGAGTTAGCAATCCAAAACGCAGTTAACTCATTGGGGGTAACCAAACATCACAGGCAGAATGAAAACCATGTTTTTCCTTCTAACCACGTTACCGGAGAAGCACCTGAAGACCAGCTTCTCCATTTGAAAATCACAGTGGAAACAGTCAGTTAACATTAATGCCCCTTGGTTAATCAATGGCGAGGAAGCGATTTTGGGGGGGAGAGACTACCGATGAGAAACGAAGAAAGGAAAGGGACAGAAGAAGCTCATCGATTTTTTGCCCCGTCTTCCGAATATGAACTAGAACTAGACTTCCCGAGTTCGCGTGCGACCCACGGGAAATTTTGAGATATTTAACAACTTTTCTATTTATAAGGAATCCCTTAAAATGATTTTTCATTTTGAATGGTTTCTTATTTTTTAATTAAAATTTTTAAGAGATCAATGATATGAAAATTAGGTTGTATATGATTAGGTTGCTTTTATTGCTTTTTAGATCTGTGAATGCAATATTTTTTTAATAATCAATAAAATTGATTTTTTTTAGCCAAACAAATAATTTGAAGTATGTAATTGTCATCAATGTTATTATGAAGTGCTTAATTGTTATTTTTTCTGAAAATAACTAAAAGTACGCGTTTTTTTTTTTTTACGAGTCCAGTCAAATGAACCAATTCCTTTTCGCATTTTATTGCCTGTTCTAATTTTTTGTTAGTGTTAACAAGTGAACCAACTCCCCCCCCTTTTTTGTTGGAGATTGATTATAATATCCGTGAATCTGGATGTTATGTTAAATTAAATAACATTTAATTTAATTTAGTATATCTGATTAAATTAGTTTTAATTAAATAAATAATCAACAATTAAATGAAGATTTAATCTTACCTGAATCTAATATATCTTATTGTGTAAGATGTTATATTTATTGGGATTTATTTATTTTGCATTCAATCTTTCATCAGCTTGTTTGGCATGCTGGAACTGAGGTTGAAAAAAAATGAAAGTGAAAGTGAAAGTCTAGAAAATGCATGTTTGGTGCTGTGAATTCAGTTCCTTAAAAAGCACTTCCACCAAAATCAATGGGACTCAGTTCCATTAGGACCCTTGTGAAACTCAATTCCATCGGATCCACTTCCCTTTAAGCTCTAGCCTCTCCTCTTCCTCAATGAGATGATGACCAACTCCTTCCTTGATGGTTCCCATTGACGATGACAATAGAGCTTGACGACAGAAGTTGAAGCCAGCGGCGAACATTAGATGCAGGTGGGCTATGGCCGTGCTCAATAGTGGCAAAGGTTGAATCCGCTTGCATTGTCTCCTCCACCCCTTCCATGGTATCCCTCAACTCTGCCACCATCATCGCCAGCACTTCCATCATCTTCTCCCCAGAGTTCATTTGCCCGACGATTTCAAGTGATGACTGTTTGATTTCTGGCATTGTGGTCAGCACCTCCCTGTTCGATTTTTGGCTAGTACCTTTGTCGGCAGCAGCTCTATTATCACCTCCATGATTGTTCGAGTTCAATCTCCATATTTGCACAATGATTGCTGACTATGTTGTTTGCTTTGATTGATCTAGAATCTTGGATGAACTTTGTTTTGATTTTCTTTTAATTCATTCTTTTTGTTTTCGATATGAATCTCCAGATCTATTGGTTTTGATGATTGATTTTGTTCTTTTAATTTCTAGTTTGATAGAAGGTTTTTCGCTCTTTGACGGTAAGGTTTTGATAAGCAATGGTTGAAGATATTTTTTTTTACTTGGAGGGCATTTTGGTATTTCACACTATAAATATATATTTTACTTAAAAGTTATACCTCACTTCCATGTGAATGCTAAATATGTTTTAAGATCTCATTTTTACTTCATTTACACTTTCATTTCCATTAAAAAACAATCACATGCTACCAAACGGGCCATAAGAGATTTGATTTACAACAATATAATATCTAAATTTAAGGTAGCCACCCTCACTAAAAGAGGCACATTAGAGTTGAATAGGTACTCAAATATTTGCCCTTCCTCGAGGTGCATTATTGGTTTTGGCGTGATTCTAACCTGAACTTAAATTATTTATGAATAATTTGTTTGTTTCTCTTATTTCCGACATTTTATATAGACCTTTTTAGTTCAGATTTCATTTTTTATATTAATTATACTTTAAAGTTGATATTAAGTTCCAAAAAAAAAAAGAATATGTCTTTAGTTAAGACTTATGTACTTAATTTTATATATTTAATATATTTATATCCAATCAAACCATGCAAGTGGATCTTAATGTATTGATAAAATTAACTAATAACATTAATTTATTATGAAATAAATAATTTATAAAAAATTCATATTTAATTAAAAACAAACACATTAAATATATAAAGTTAAATATATAAGTTTTCTCATGCCTTTGCCATAACATTCAAAACCAAACTACACGTAATCATTCTTCGATCTAATATCCAAAGATTGGACATTGATAAACAATGCATCAATAATGTTATTTCCATTTTATTGTTTGAGGTATGGTCTTTGTGTGCGTGTGTATCGAATACATATGTATTTCCTTGCAAACAACCAATGACTAATCCTTTTTGAGATGTTTGGACTAAAGCATAAAACGTCATTCAAATGAATTATAGGATTAGTTAGATTAAGTAATTGAAGAGTCAAACTCAATTGAAACAAAAGGGCTGGCCCTGAGCTCAATAGAAGGCCATGATAGAATAAACATGTTAAAATTCCGTCAATTACAAACATTGAACTATTGGCACAAAAAGGCATGATCTTGAGTGATTCCAGAATTTATGAATATCGCACCCAAGTATCTCGGTGAGACGGGCTGATTATTAAAAATGGAGAACACGAAATAAAGATCGTGCCATGAGTTTCACAATATCCCTAATTCATTGGTAAAGCGTTATAAGTCTTAAAGAAGAGGCTACTACCACTTTGACACTATAAATAGAAGATAAAGATACAAAAAAAAAAAGTCAACACTTAATCAAAGACTCACATTCTACATTTTTAGCCTTTAGTTTTATCAGTTAGTTTTAAGACTTGTAACTTTTTACATTTTCATAAAAATCAAAACACTTATTCTATCAAAATTTTGTATCTCTTTTATATCCAAGTCAACTGTGATAAAAGAGCTCGGGACCTTTTTGTTATTAATTAAGACTTAGTGTTTCTAGCGCACTTAACATTTATTGTTTATGACGAATATGAGGTATAGAGATTATAGGGGGTATTTTATACACACGCAAAGAGACCCAAGACAGAAAGGCTTTATATACCTCAAAAGGGACTAGCCATTAGCTGACTGCAAGGAGATTATTATAGTAAGATAATGATAAGGAAAAATTATTCATTTAGTCCTTATAGTTTTGACTTAATTGTAACTCAGTTTTTAAATTTTGATTCACTAACTTAGTTCTTAAAGTTTTGATTCGGTTGTGAATCAATCCCTGAATTTTACCTTTTACAATTTAGTCCTTAAAATTTCAATCTTTTAAATATTGGTCTCTATATTTTAAGAAATAAAATTATAAAAATTAAAAATATTTTAAACTTTTAATATTTATAATATTTATACAGGTTAAAAAGGTTTTAATAATTTAAAATATTAGTATTAAATTTTAAAATATTTTTAGTCTTTATAATTTTATTTTTTAAAATATAGGAATTAACATTTAGGAGATTGAAACTTCAAGTATTAAATTATAAGAGCTAAAGTTTAGAGACTGATTAACAACTGAGTCAAAATTTTAGGGATTGAATTGTAATGAGTTAAAGTTAGGGAATTGAGTTGCAACTGAATCAAAACTATGATGATTAAATAATTAATTTTTCTTACTGATAATAATAAGTTGAGTAGGTTTTGGAGTAAACTTGATAATCATACTTAACTTAGAGCAGCGGCAATATCATGACAAGAAAAATTAGGAAAAAAATTTAATTCATCCTAAGAACAAACATGGAAATCCTGATGAGGGATGGAGCTGAAGAGTACCAAACGATGATGATTTAAGAGAATATATTCGGGGTTAGTTAAGTATTGAATTTTGTAGACAACACTTTTTTAAGAAGGGAAGGATTGTAACATTTCAATGTTAATTTTAGAATTTAAATAATGCTAAAAATTGATTTATCAAGTAAATTGAAGTTGGAAAATGTTTATTGATAATGATTAGAGTTTAATAAGATCATTTTGTATAAATTAAAATTTACCAGATAATTATTTGAGAAAATAAAACTTGCTCAAGATATGTTAAATTTTAAGGATATTTTGCTAAAAAAGATGAAAAATAATAAGAATAGGTGAGATTAAATAAAATTATATAAATTATTTCTCATTTGAGATATTATAATTATAATTTTTTAAATATTATGAAAATTATATTTGACCAGTCTATAAATTAAATTTACCTATTTAAATTTTATGAAAGATTTGAAATATTGTAGAAAATTATGAAAGTTTTTTTTTGAAAATTTGAGAAATTATATATAATAAATTAATATTGAAATATTATATGAAAATTATATATAAAGAATTAAGGAAACAAAGAGGTATTCAAGTAAAAATAAAAAAAGCAAGTGAACCCACACCCTTATAACACCCCAGCTCATATCACAAACCTCTCCTCTCTTTAAGGGAAGCAAAAGTTTGAGAACTAAGACTTAGAGTAAGTATTGAATTTCATCGAATCATGAGATTATTAAGATAAGTGAGCATTTAAATTTAGTTAATTTAACTTGTTAAATAATGATTGAACTTTTGTATTTAGATATGTTAAGGTTGAGCCCTAAGTGTAAACAAAAGGATTTCAATTTTTAGATTTAACTAGTACTTGAAATTTTAATAATTGATTATGAGAACTTAGAAAAACTTGTTAGAAATTGATTTTGAAGTTGAATCCCAAGGTTGAGTGGTTTTTAACTACGGATGAATTAATGTGAATTTTTGGATATATTTTTATGAGTAATCTGGACATGATTGTTTGGCAAATAAATTATTTCAGTTATAAACTTTAACTAAAAAGAATTTCATGTTTAAATTTTTATGATAATTGAATTTTATTTTAGTTACCGCTTTGTACTCGATATCTTTACTTTGGAAAGAGACTTTTTACCACAGCTGTGATACTTTGGAACCTTTAATCCTTTTTAAGTAATATGAAAAGTAATTTGGTAATAGATAAAAGGTCATGGGATGTTTGCAATTATGAAACTCATTAGACAAGCTTGAAATAAAATTCTAAAAGAACAAATGGGAAAATAAGATTTGACATGAAGATGAATTTTGAGAATTTGAAATTTAGAGTTGAGTTAATTTAACCCTTTTGGCTATTTTTTAATTAATTGTAATTATAATATAAACCATGTAGATTTGCAGTTTATAAGAGATATTCCCTCAATTTTATTTATAAGTTATTTCTATCAACCTCATCTATATAATATAAACCAACACAACAAAAGTATAAAGAATAAAATTTAATAAAACTACAAACATAATCCTAAAAAAATAAATAAATTATATAATATTTTTTTGATTTCCTCTTTCTTACTTTTTAAGAGTAGTTTAGATATTTTATTTAAAATAAAACATTATTATTAATTCAATGACTTATAAAGTAAATCACTTCACCCTTCTAAAAATTGATCAATAAAGTGGACGAGACATAGTGTGATATCTAGAAGCATTCAATGGTTAGTATTGTTTAGCTAATGCAAGAGATAATGATGATCTATTCTCTTTATAATAGAAAACTGTTGTTTTATATTATTATATATGTGTGTGCGCATATATATATATATATATATATAACTGCTCTGGATAATGCTGTGCCCACCAAAGGTTTGTTAGATTGATTTCTAAATTAGAAATATATGTAGTGAATTGTTTAGTATGTTTGTGTAATATTTAAATTGTTGTATAATTATTCTAGCTCTTTTAGGCATGCTAATTTATGTTGAATGATTATTTGACCGTAAAAATGATTTCTAATGATGGTTTAATCCTTTCAAATGTACTTGTTGGTTTTGAAAATTGAATATAATAATTTTTTAAAATATATTCTTGTGTTTTTGACATCTTTTGGAATGTCATGGAAAAAAATAAGGTGATTAGTATGTGGTTGTTATTGTATTAAAAATTAAGAATTGATTACCCGTTATCACGCGGTATACTTTATTAAGTACTTAGCGATGGGCTTTTTTGAAATTTCATGTTGCCTTGATTTGGGTTTTGTAACAATGAGCGTCTCTTTTTGAGAAAAAGGATTTAGTTCTAAAAGTTTTCATCGTTGGTTGAATGTGCTATTACTTTAGGCTTTAGCTGGTGAAAATAAAATGTAAAGAGCGAGACATACGAGGGAGATAAGTTATGCATCACTTATTGAATGGATTTTATGATTTTCATATTACTAACCGTGCAAATTAAAAAAATGAATGTGGTCGTGATGCAAAGACACCAATAGCTCAAATGAACGTCCTAGTTTCCTATGCAGAGCATCTCCATACATTCCTGCGCAGACTTCAGATCTGGACCGTGGATGAGATCTAACGGTTGTTGTTGATCTCCACGTCATCAAAGACTAGGCTTAATTTGGACCGTCCGTTTTCACGCGACCCCGCCGTTCGTCTCATGCGTGTATAAATCAGAATCAAACATCTCCCAGACCGCCATTCTCTGTTCTTGAGGTAATGTCTAGAAGTTTTTTTTAAAGAAGGAATAGAAATATAAAATGGGATGAGATGGCCGGCAAAAAGTCTTATACTATTATTTGAAAAAAATTTTTTAAAAAAAGTGGAATAACTTAGGATAGTATTTTAAGCTACTCCTTGCCATCTTAAACTTTTTTTGTTAAACCCTAAATTTGAAAAGTTGAGAATGAAATAATACAATATAAATAATATTTTAACAAAATTTCCTTTACCCTTCTCACCCCCTCTTTCTCTTTCACTCTCCTTTACCTTAAAACTAAAAAAATATAATTATACCTAATTTATCTATTAATTTTATAATTATTCTTAAATAATGATTAAATAAAATTATTTATTTTCTTAATAAAACTCTCAAATAATGAAATATTTTATTTCATTCCACTTCATCCCATTTCGTTAATGACCACTCATTTTCATTCTATCATATACTCTCAAATATATCCTTGAGGCTAGCTCCCTGCAAATTGCAAGACAAAATGATATCTTTTTATCATTTTTCATGGCCAAATCTCACCCAAAATCCTCATCTTGAAGATTTTTCAAAGCCTAGCTTCTTTAATTTCTTTCGGGTTTCATGTTTCTCAGGCGATAAAACTCCATTTTTTATTTTTTTCACAAATCTTCTCAAGTCATTGTCTCCTGATTTACTCCCACGAATAAACTTCTGACTTCTCTACATATTTCTCATCCTTTCTTTAAACCACGGTTCCACCAGCATTAACAAAATCATTAATTTTCTTCATGAACAAGTTTAAAAATGTTTAGATGGGACAAAACGCTGATTCAAAAAAGCGATGAGTCGACAACGAACAAGATGCTGAAATACCCCAACGATGATGAGATTAGAACAACCTTATTGCCAGGACTATAGTCAGTCATATAATTATTCAGAGTTGTCCTTTCTTTTTGGCAAAACTCACCTGATGTCAAAATGTCACTCTTAAACATCAAATTCACCGAAAACTGAATAAAAGACACAGCCATTATTAAGAATTTAATATAGGGTTTGATTTTGTGAACATTGTTATTGGCGAATAAAAATGAGGACCGTCACCGGAGTCATCTAAAGCTGTTATTATAATGCTTAGCTTCTTCACGTTGTTTTCTAAGAGCCAATTATTGATGATAAGTTAGAAAAGCCCACCTCCTAGGGCCGCTTGGCTCCTTGTTCTACTTATTATTCCTATCTGGTTCACTATCTTTAACCATCGTCTTGGTGCGGTGTGGAAGCCAATTGACAAGGTGATAAAGCAACTGGTTGACACTCATGGCGTTCTTCTCCGTGCTTTAATTTACGTAAAAACCTTTGAAGTCCATAAGTCAGGCAATCCTGTTTTCTCCTACTCTTCTCTAACATAATTAACCCATGTCCACATAAATTTTTTCAAGGGTCTAGGATTAGAGTTGCTTCTTTTGCTGGAAAAATTCACAATAGCTCTCTATTAAACTTTTCAACCTAATATTTCAATTACGTAAAAGCAGGTGGATTACAAATGAATATGTCTATCTTGTTTTGCAAATGATTGTAGCTCTCTTTTTCCCCCTAAACTTAAGGCTTTTGCTGTTACAAATGACATCGAAAATTATATGATCTGAAGTGTATAGTACGCATATAAAATATTTCTTTTCTTTTGATGTCGATGCTTATGTTTTTATGATACTTGGATGTGTAGGACTGTCCTCATAGTCTCATCCCGTAACCACCATGTCGTTAAAGAAAGATTTAGAGTCGAAGAAAGAGGAGAAGGAAGTGGAACGCAAGATTTCTCTCTTAGATTTGCCTGAACCAATTTTGGAACACATTCTTCAGTGCCTGACGGCTGCTGAATTGTGCAAACTAGCACATGTGTGCTCTTCTTTGAGAGTTAGATGTAGAAGTGATCCTTTATGGGAAAAGCTCATAATACGTAAATGGGGGAAATTAATTGGTAATGTTGCTTATCAAGAATGGAAATGGCATTTAGCTACAAGAGGGAGAGAGAATTATTTTAGCCAACAAGTTCAAAATGGATCGTTGGGATCAGTCTCAGGTGTTTGGCCAATTATTTGCCTTGGATCATTTTTAGAACACTGCAAGCCGCCTGGTAATTCACTGTCAGAAGATTCAATGATGGCTTGGTATTTCTATGTTGAGAAAGGCAAATTCTGGTTTCCTGCTCAAGTCTACAAGGTAATTGCTTAATCAATGCATTGAAATGTAGCTCTGCTAATTTCTTGCCAAATGATAAGTTTATCTATTTATTACAGAGCGGTGATTATATGCTTTATTGTTACGATGCTTTGGTCAGTTATAATTGTAGATCAGATCTATTTATAACCAGGTATTGAAAGTACTTCCTTCAAATTATTCAATGTACAGCTATTTTTTTGTAAGGTCATACAGAGTGTACGTCCTAAAAAGAAGATAGCCCTAACGTAGTTAAGCTTTGATGCCATATGGAGCCATATAAAGGGCATCTCGAAGGGTATTAAAAATGAATGCCTGTAAGAAGTAAGTTTGACACCATATATTTTAATCCAGCATTTCAAGGCATCTTAAACCAAAAACATGAAAGATTAATTTACATGCTCGACTTAATTAAAATAATCTTAATTATTGACACTTGACTTAAAAATGAATGCATATAAGAAGTAGGTTTGACACCATGTATGTTAATCCAACATTTCGGCATCTTAAACCAAACATAAAAGATTAATTTACAAGCTTGATTAATTAAAATCTTAATGATTCACACTTGACTTACTTGACTCAAGTTCCAATTGTAATTAACCGGACATTGACACCACTATATGTTTTAGGGAGAATTCCATGGGCAACCTATAATCCTGAAAAGCAAATGACACTGTAGCAATCAATATCTAATATCATTAAAAGGCCATATGAAGATTCTCAAGACTTTGTTTCAGGGAGCATCCAAGAAATAGGAGAATTTTACCGTAACTAAATTATGAGTTTCCCAATAGCTACACTCAAAAGTAAGACAGTGCTACTTTCTAAACATATTGTGAGTTCCAGAGTATTAAACTTCAACCATACTAAAAGGTCTTTATTAAACTCAAAATCATTGTAATCTTTTAGGTCTCAGTACTCTGGTTGGCGAGTGATGGAAGAGAGTATTAAGTGGGACAGATTGCGAGTAACTCCAACTCAGATTCCATATGTTCTTCATATTTCTGATTGTTTGAATGACTTGAAGCCTGGGGATCATATAGAAGTCCAGTGGAGATCATACAAAGATTGCCCTTATGGTACTATGTCTTTATATATTGAATCGTACAATTCTTATTTATTTTAGTGTTAAAAGTTTATTTTTGTCCTTGTGTCATTTCGTAGAACACTCAGTGCTTTAAATTTTTTATTGTACAATATTACTCTTAAAATAATTAAATCATAGCAATGTTGCTCTTAACATTAAATGTTCAAACATTAATGATTAACTAATTTGCTGACAAAAATATTAGCTTAACTCAAATTAAAGCAATGTTGTCCCTAATGTTAAGTTTAAGTTAGCAAAGTTAACGGTCAACGTTTATTCATGTAATGATCAAGAGCAACATTGCTATGATAAAAAGTCTAAAATACTAGGTGCTTTTACAAAAATAACTCAAAGACAAAAATAGGCTTTAACCCCTTTTAATGGAAAAAGCTCTTGCCTTCTTGCTTCATCAAATATTTATTCTATACTAGTATATATTCATAGTGCTGTCAAGTCTTGCATTACCTTTTACATTTTATATTGTGTTTTGTAATGGCATTGATGCCAGCCTCCATTTGGTTCATGTTGATGAATGTCTTGTAGAATGGTGGTATGCTACTGTTGGTCACTTGGAATCGTGCAGAGAAGATGATCACTGCCGTTGTCACCTAAGCAGTGAGATTTTTTTATTATATATCATTATTTAAGCAATGATATACCAGTTTGTTGATTTTTAAGGGTAAAAATTATTTTGAAAATAACCAGATAGCATGAACTTGACCTCGATGTAAGGTTTTTAGTGAATTGTTATCTTATTGTGATTGCCATATATCTTTTCTCATATTGGACCGATTTATATAATGGTACTATTCCATCAAATTTTGATGATAATTAAACTGACATTGTATTGCTTAATATAATTACAATTAGGTTTGTTGATTGTTGGGTTCATACAGTACCCTGCTGGTTCTCCGTATAGACGAGTAGCGTTGAAGAGAGTGAACCTCGAACAAACAAGCAACATAGGAGGTGGCTTTTATGGTGGAATCAGAAAGCTTCAAAGTGATGAAGTTGAAAAGTGGAAGCAGCTTTGGCCCGCTGTCGTTTAGAGTGTTAATACCCGAGCTGAGCAATCTACATGTGTATAAGTAAATATTCATTACACACAAGAATAATTTGACTACTTTTTATATTTCTCATGTTTTGTTTAATGCGCGTGAGATATACAGTATTTTTTTTTTTTGCAAAGCCTTACAATATATTCCTTTCGGTTCTATTTATAAAGTATGTTTTAAAAAGTTTATTTAATTCTATTAATAAATCACAATGCAACTTTTTAAGTAAAATTTGAAAAGTATTTATATAATTATCCTTTATAAAAGAAAAAAATAATATAACATTACTTTTTAAATTTGTTATATAAAGATATATTTAAAAATTTATACAATTTTTTTATTCTTTTACTTTTTTTGTATTGGTATTAATAATATTAATGATGTTGGTAGAAATAATTTATAAATAGGAATGGAAGAATACAATACTTATGTCAATAACGTCTTCCACATGCTATGTAACATTGATGCTATTATTTCTCCTCTTAATTGCATCTAGTTATAATTCTTACATACATATTTTATTGTAATTATTAACATTAATTTTAATAAATGGTAAAATTGAAAGGTCAAGCATTTTTTTATGAGTTTAAGAAAATTAATTATCATTTATTAATAAAAATGAAATTGATTAATTTTAACTTATCTCATAATTAAGACTGGAGGGAGTATACTTGTTAAGAGTGATTAACCCACGCTACTTTAAAGATAAAACACTATCATATCATAATAATCTAAATCAAGGTCCTAAGAAAATCTCAGATAACTAAATAAAAACTTGCGTAAACAAATCATTATGATAACTAATATACTGATCACTGATTTTTAAAAGTGCTATAATTTGATTATATGCATAAGGAAGACAAGTTTAAGGTATTCTTCAACTAAAAATTTTAAATTTTAAAAATAATTAATATATCTCTACTTGAAAACGTTTTGAATGAAAGGTTAGAATTTAATGAAATGGTTGCTGCTGTGAGAACCATGTTTGAATTCCCGCTGATGAAGATATATTTATTTTTAGTACGCGTATGATCGTGTCTCATATATGACCACCTCCAATGAGAGATTACCGTGAGCAGTAAAAAAACGTTTCCAATGGAAGATAAACATTATGCTTTAAAGATATCATATTGAAAGGATCGCTTGCTTAACTTGTATAGAGGAATCAAAAGACTCAAATTGAAGTAGCTAGTATTAAAACATCATCTCATCCTTGATACTGATTCTGCTGAGGATACTGTAGCTATTATTGGTGATGCGACAACTAGCCTACCGAAATCATGAAGTTATTTTTAAGATCAAGTCCTCACCAACTTGTGATTGAGTGGTTACTATTCAGAAGATCTCGTGAGACTCTAATGAGACTACTGATATTCTTACAATAAGGCAGGCGCTTTCCTGTGTTGTTAGGTTTCACCCTCTGTCCTCTCCTTCTCTTGAGTTAATTATTGTTTTGCAGCAGGACATTTTTACTACCTTGAAGGTTTTTTATTTTATTTTTTTCCCTGGTATAAAAAAAAAAAACATCATCTTCCCGCCTCGAGGTACATTTAGGATGATATTCCAATATGCCCCAAATGAATTAAATTCGTAGAAAATGCTGAAGGTTTATAATTAACGTTCCTTGCTAGACCAGGATGTGAAAATTTTAACTATTTCATTGACAAGTTCTCTTCACTAATTATTAAATAGCAATTAGAGTTTTCGTATATCTTCCGGTGACATGCTATATATTTTAGTCACATATATAGACGTATGCATATACTCTCTTTAGTAGACAGTGACAGAATATATTAATCAGGATTGGGTCACATCTTGTACGCGCAGCAGAAAGGCGGACAATTCGAGATCATACAACAGCTGAGAAGTTTTCAATTCTATTTCTCAATTCTTAATGTTGAACTCACATAATTTTACAGGAAAACTTTTTAGCCGCCGGTAAAGTATAGCCTGCGGGATGGTAAAATGCAACGACATAGGACAATAACGAAATTGTCTGGGAAATGTTGAATTTATTGACATCTTCTGCTTCTTCGGTAGAGAGGCCTTCTTTTCGTTTCTCTCATCAATCACAGGTCAAGCACAAACTTTATATTCGCATAAATGATACCACTAACAAACAAAACACCACAGCTGATGAAGAAAGAGGCTCCTCTGTTGGAGTTACCAGAATCGATCTTGGATAATATTATTGAAAGTCTTTCACCAATTGAACTATGTATCATGTCAGAGGTATTGCACTTCTTTGATGCGCAAATGTAGCAGTAATATGCTGTGGGAGAAACACGTACAACGTAGGTGGGGAGACTACTTGGTGATGTGGCTTCCAGAGAGTGGCAATTTCATATGATAAGGATATGAATAGAGAAAACCCCTCACTATTAGTGTATACTAGTATGGTGTAGTGATTAGTTTAGTTTCTGTTAACCTGTTATATAAATTTAATATTTCAGTTGTAATTAGTTAAGGTCCACTTATGACAACGTGTACCAGTCAGCTAGTCACGAGAATCACTACATGAGAATGTACACACTCATTCATCATTAAATAAGATTTTCGCTTTGGTGCTATCGTTCTTTTCTCTCTTTCTTGGCACTCACTAGAAACGAATCCAAATGGATTATTAGGATCATTTACTGGTGCTTAGCTTGGCATTTTTTATGCCTTTGTTCGTGTGTGTGTCTGTGTGTTTGGAAAATCCTGTAGACATTATTACTATCGAATTATTCCCATTTGGTTCACTATCCTTATGCCTTGGTTCACTATCTTCGCTGTTTTTTCTAAGAACCAGACTGATGATGAGTTAGAAAAGCCCACCTCCTGTGGCTGCTTGGCTCCTTGTGCTGCTCCTTATTATTCCCATTTGGCTCACTATCTTTAACCATTGTCTTGTGTGGTGGAAGCCAACAAGGTGACAAAGCAACTTGGTGACACTTATGGCGTTCTTGTTCATGACTTCATGCTTTAATTTACGCAAAAACCTTCGAATTCCTTGAATGAGGTAATCCTCTTTCTCCTACTTGTTTCTAACATAAAAACTATATACCTATATTCTTTCAAGGGTCTGAGATTACAGTAGCTTCGTTTGCAGAGTTGAGTAATTTGAGATCTAGTGATGGCAATATGATTCAAGAAAAATTCACGATACCTCTCTCAGATTAAATTCGCAATAGCTCTCTATTAAACTTTGCATCCTGATATTTCAATTATGTAGAAGCAGGTGGATTACAAATGAATATGTCTATCCTGTTTTGCAAATGCATGCTTGTATTTCTTTTCCCCCTTTCAACTTAAGGCTTTTGCAGTTACATATGACATGGAAAATTACCTGATCTAAAGTGTACGTGTAGACTAGTGCATATAAAATGTTTCCTTTCTTTTGATGTCGATACTTAGGTTTTTATATATGATACTTGGATATGTAGGACTGTCCTCATAGTTTATCTTATACTGTGGCCACCATGTCATTGTTAAAGAAAGATTTACAGTCGAAAGAGAAGAAGGAAGTGGAACGCAAGATTTCCCTCTTAGATTTTCCTGAACCAATCTTGGAACGCATTCTTCAGTGCTTGGCAGCAGCTGAATTATGCACACTAGCACATGTGTGCTCTTCTTTGAGAGTTAGATGTAGAATTGATCCTTTGTGGGAAAAGCATATAAAACGTAAATGGGGGAAATTAATTGGCAATGTTGCTTATCAGGAATGGAAATGGCATTTAGCAACAAGGGAGAGAGAAAATTATTTTGGCCAACAAATTCAAAAAGGATCGTTGGGATCAATCTCAGGTGTTTGGCCAAATATTTGCCTTGGATCATTTTTAGAACACTGCAAGCCGCCTGGTAATTCACTGTCAGAACACTCAATGATGGCTTGGTATTTCTGTATTGAGAAAGGCAAATTCTGGTTCCCTGCTCAAGTCTATAAGGTAATTTTTTAAGGCCATTTTTTTATATATTGCCAAATGATAAGTTTATCTGTTTGGTACAGGGTGGAAATTATATGCTATGTTGTTACGAGGCCTTGCTCAGTTATAATTGCAGAACAGGCATATTTAGGGCTAGGTATTGAATGTACTTCCTTCAAGTTATACAATGTACAACTATATTTTTGAAGAATCATAGGGAGTGCTCTCAAAAGAAGATAGCCCTATCGTAATTAAGCTTTGGTACCAGTGGGGCTATGAATAAAGAGCATCTCAAAAGGTTTGGATCTAGAATTACAAAATGATCGTATAAGTGGGTTTGATAATTGACACCATATGTTAATCTGACATGTCAAGGCATCCTAAGCCCAAAGCATCAAAGACTTGCGTGCTTGACTTGATTAAAACCTTAATGATTATTCACGCTTGACTCAAGTTCCAATTGTTATCAAACTTTGATACTACTAATTGTAAATATGTTTTAGGTGAGAATCCCAAGGGAAGCCTAATTCCCTGAAAAGCAGAATGACCCTGTATATATATAGTAATCAAGATCTAAAATCATGTAAAGGCCACATGAAGCTTCTCAAAACTTTGGTTTGGGGAGAGCATATTCCAAAAAATAGAAGAATCTTCCCAACAACTTCATTGAAAAGTGTGATTGTACTACTTTCTAAACATAGAGTCTCAGAGTACTAAACTTTATATTAAATGCCTTTATTAAACTCAAAATTACTGTAATCTTTTAGGTCTCGGTATTCTGGTTGGCGAGTGGTGGAAGAGAGTATTAAATGGAACAGGTTGCGAGCAACTTCAACTCAGATTCCGCATGATCTTCATATTAATTGTTTGGATGACTTGAAGCCTGGGGATCATATAGAAGTCCGGTGGAGATCATGTAAAGATCGCCCCTACGGTACTACCTCCACTTTTATACATTGAAATATAGTACGGTACTGCTTATTTATTTCAATGGAAAAAGAAAAAGCTCTTCATCATCCTCAATGCTTCATCAAACACTTACGCAATAATAGTATATATATATTCACAGCATCGTTAAATTTTGCATTATATTTTACATTTTATTTTGTGTTTTTTAATTAATGGCTTTGATATCACCTCCATTTTGTTCCTTATGATGAATGTCCTGTAGAATGGTGGTATGCTACTGTTGGTCACTTGGAATCGTGCAAAGAAGATGATCACTGCCGTTGTCACGTAAGCGGTGAGATACTTTTCTTATCATCATTTAAATGATGATATAACTATTTGTTGATTTTTATGGTTAAAAAAATTATATTGAAACTAACCCAAATAGCATGATAACTAGACCTCGATGCAAGCTTTTTAGTTTATTTTCATATTTTAGAAAATTTTAGATTACAGGATCATGTATAGTAACTGTTATCTTACTGGAATTGCCCACCTCCCCCCCCCCCCGAAAAAAAAAAACCACACACACACACACACACTCTTATATTGTACAGATATAGAATGGTCTTATTTCCATCAAATTTTGGCATTAAACTGACATATTGTATTGCTCAATTACAATTAGGTTCGTTGATCATTGGGTTCATACACTACTCTGCCGGTGCCCTATACAGACGAATAGCGTTAAACAGAATGAACCACGAGGAACAAATAAACATAGGAGGTGGCTTTTATGGTGGAATCAGAAAGCTTCATAATGATGAAATTGAAAAGTGGAAGGAGCTTTGGCCAGCTATTGTTGTGTAGAGTGTCAAGACTTGAGAGCTGAGCAATATCTATATATGTACAAGTAAATATTCATATAAGACGTGAATAATTTGACTTGTTATACTCTCATATTTCATGTAATGCGTGAGACATACAGTACTTATGTTTTTTTTTTTGTGCGAAGTTATACAATATTTGTGTCAAAAAGATGTGATGAAATGAACCAGATAAAGTTAGCCGAGTAGAAGGTGCTTTTTATCGCTTAAGGAAGTGGCTGAGTTTTGAATCTCAACTTTCATATATGTAATGAACGGAATGTTGATGTTACTTCCACATGCTTGTTTGGAATATTCAAATAATAAAATAATTTCAAGCATAATACAGGTTTTCTAGTAGTATGCGATATGCATTATGATCTTGTATGTTTCCAATATACATTAAAAGATTTTTAAATAATAATTTTATAATTATTTTAGACAATTGATATGCATTGCTATCTTTTTGTGAGTTCTTAATTTCAAAGAACTAAGGTATGTCTGTTATTCTATTATAATATGATGAACAAAGTTCAAATCATATTTTTAAAAATATGTTTATATTTAATTTAGTATTCATTGTTACCTTTAATAGGAAGTCACCCATAAAAAATAAAAAAAAATATCTTGAATGAGAGATAAACATTATCATTTAAAGATATCAAAGTGAAAGGGGAAGAAAGGGATCGCTTGCTTGTATAGAGGAATTAGATGAAGTCTCAAATTGAAGTAGTACTAAAACACCATCTTCCTGCATCCTAGACTACGTCAGGTACATTTGGGATGATATATGTGTGTGTAGGGAGAATGACATAGAAATCTCAAGAGGATCAATTAATTCAAATTAAGTTTTAAGTTTCAAATTATAAGAATTTGTAAGTTCGGTTCTTAATTTTGTAATTTTATTGTAATAAATTTATAATTTATATTTTAAATTTTAACAGAGAAAAGAAAATTGTTTATTTTTTAATCATATTAAAATTTGAAAAATAAGTTGTAAATTTTTAGAGTTTGGCACTTGAGATCTAATTTGAATTAATTATTCTTCTTGAGACTTATATATCATTCTCCCTATATATTTTTTTTAATACAAAAATTTGTCGTATTCTAATATGCTCCAACTAATTAAATTTGTAGAAAATGAAAATGTTGAAGGTTTCTAATAAATGTTTCTTGCTTGTTCAGTTCGTCCGGGCTTCTTTGAGTTGATCAAGATGTGGAAATTTTAAAACTACTACCATTGACAAGTTCTCTCCCCGCTAATTATTAAATAGTGATTAGAGCTTTCGTATATCTTTCAGTGAAATACACACGCTCTATATTTTAGTCCACATAGTAGATAGTGACAACATATATTAATCAGAATTGCGTCACATCTCATAGCAGAAAAGCGGCCAATTTGAGATCATACAACAGCAGTATTCAATTCTATTTCTCAATTCCTAACGCTGAACTCACATTGTTTTACACGAAAACTTTTTAGCCGGCGGAAAGTAGCCTGTGGGATGGGTAAAAAACAACGACATAGGACAATAACGAAATTATCTGGGAAATGCTGAATATATTGACACATTCTGCTTCTTCAGTAGAGAGGCTTTTTTTTTTTTTTTTCTTTTTTCCTTCTCCCGTCAATTTAGCACAGGTCAAGCACAAAATTTATTTTCACATTAAATGATGCCATTAATTACAAACGAAGCACCGCAGCTGATGAAGAAAGAGGCTTCTCTGTTGGAGTTACCAGAAGCCATCTTGGATAACATTCTTGAGAGACTTTCGCCAATTGAACTATGTAGCATGTCCGAGGTGTGCACTTGTTTGATTGGCAGATGCAGGAGTAATGTATTGTGGGAGAAACACGTACAACGTAGGTGGGGAAGACTCCTTGGTGATGTGGCTTACAGAGAGTGGCAATTTCATGTGATGAGGATAATGAATAAAGAAAGCCCCTCACTACAAAGGAATCCAGAGGGATTATTAGGATCATTTACTGGTGCTTGGCCTTTTTTATGCCTTTGTTCATATTTGGAAAATCCTGGAGACTTGGCTAGTTTATTACTATCGAATTATTCCAACATGGCTTTGTATGTATCTCTTCAGAGGGGTCGATTTTGGTTCCCTGCTCAAGTGTACAGGATGACGCCGGCAAGTTATTTTACTCATGAACTCTTCCTTTTGTTCTTATATCTTTACAATCTCTGCCGCTAAATTGAAATATTATATTTTATATATTACAATGATTAGTTTCAGCTTCCAAGGCGATATAATGGGCTGCTCAGCTATGAACATGTTTCAAACACCTTTCAAGCAAGGTACCGTTGAGATCTATAGTTGGGCTTGTTTCTCAAAATTTAGGAAAGGTCATCACTTGCGTGATCCAATAATGTTATACCTTTATTCTTAAAAGTTTTCAAGAGTTGCTTATTGTTGTAGGTGTCCAACGGACGAGTGGCGATTGATTGAGAAAAATATAACATGGGATCGGTTGAGACTACCCCCGATTCACACTTCTCCATATACTCTTTATGTGTCCAATAACAATGATTTGAAACCTGGTGATCATGTTGAGGTCCAAATGAGAAAAGGGAGCAGAACTTATGGTGATAGTTTATTTTGTTTTAACGATCACTTCACTATATTTTGGGATCCATAATAGTATCGATCAATTTAATCTCCATTTGAAGTTAGGACTTTAATCATAAATTAATTATGAATGGGATGTAGATTGGTGCTATGGTGTTATCGATCACTTGGAATCATGTGATAAAGACATGAACAATCATTGCAGTTGTGAGCATAGCGGTAAGTTAAAATCATTTATTGGTGTTGGCAAAAAAGTATGTGAGTGTGTTTGCGTGTGAGATATATATGAAATAAAGTAATAAACTATAATAATGATAATATTTTGATTTATGTTGCGTTGACAGAAATGCTAGTGGTGTCGTTCAAGCTTCAATACTCACAATGGAAATCGATAGCGATAAAAAAAGAGGCGAATGGGGAACAAAAAATTGGACTTTGGAAGATTGGAGGAATTAGAAAACTGGAAGACTTGGAGGATATTCGGAGATGGAACACCGAGCACCATATGCAGATCTCAAGCTTATCTTATTATGTATAGCATCTTTTATTTGTATTTTATACTGCGAAGGTTCACATTATAGGATCCATTGATCTCATCTGGCTTGTTTTATATGTGAACTGGTTTGTTCACCTTAAATGTAAATTATAATAATGATTTTCAGTACTTTTTTTTTTCCCATGAGAAGGGCAAGCCGAAGCTTGAATGACAATAAGGTCACCAAAATAATAATAATAATAATAATAATAATAATAATAATAATAATAATAATAACCACCAGAGCGACAGCTCTTTTCCCTATTGAAGATATCCAAAAAAATTGGTACTTCCGTTAGAATTTGAATTCCTTGCACAGCATTAAACGCCTTCTAACTAATGAATCAGTACAACAGATTCAGTTCTAGCCCGTGATTTTCAATATATACTTTTTAACAAGGGTTAATGGCAATAAAATATTTTCAAAATACGCAAATGAAAAATAAATACTAGAAAATGTGATAATTATTATCTAGTTTCTTGAAACTCATTTAGCATTTTATTTTTTGTGAAATGACATATCTACCCCTTTCTTCCTCTCTCCCCTTCTCACCCTAGCTTCTCTCTCTCTCCCTCTCTCTCATCCTCTGCCTTTGTGCAGAGTACAAAGATTACGGAGAAGACAGGTTTCTTGGCTTTGTGGCATCGCGTACTTCCCATTGACAAGGTGAAAAACCGCCCTATTGCAAGGAGCACTCCGCGGAGCAGTTTAGGCTTTTTTAGTTTGCTGTTTGTCCATTTTCAATCTTCAACTCAATAAGTTAATCGCCAACCCGTGGATACCTCGCTGCCCCTTCTCTCTTGCTAGTTGTGAAGGAAATTTTCATTATTGTCCCAACAAATGGGACATTTTCAATTTCTCGTTGCAAATGATTTCTTTCAATTTGATCCATCCATTATTATAGTGATGCCACACTTAACATATTTGATGGCTTTGAGTAATTGAGTTAAACAAATACAGAGTTAGTGCCGTAAGTTTCCAAGTGAACAATTTGTTATCTTTCAGAAAATGAGATATCACATTGAAAGAAATTATTTATAGTGGACAAAATCCAAAATGCAGTACTTATCTATCAATGGCGCCAATAGAGTTTCGTCTTTTACTAATGCTTGTAACATGAAGGGAGGATGAAAAAGTGACGTAATGAATACGGTGCAGGTACAATTTTCTTTTGTTTCCTGTATATGAATTGAAATTGGGAACGTCTTCAAAGTTGGTCGCAGTCTAAATCAGACTTGAGGAGGAGGGGTTGCAAATATATGTAGGGTAGTTGAAGAAGGTAATAGGCATGAGATCCCGACTGGAGTTCGAACGGTGGAATTGATGGAACAAGAAAAATTAAGATCTTCTTCCTCCCCATGTCTTTGGCTAGATTAGAGACAGAGAGGGGGGATTGGGTGAGGAAGAGAGAGAGGAAGCCACCACGGTGAGAAAGAAAGAGGGAGAGAAGGGGAGCAAACACATCATTTCACAAGAAATCCAAATGCCAAACAAATTTCAAGGGATTAGAAAATAATTATCACATCTTACCGTGCTTATTTGTTATTTATATATTTTGAGAGTGTTTGATAATTATTTTTTCCTTTTAATAACGTGCATGCTCAATCAAGAGAATGTTCTCTATTATTGTTGTTGTTATAAAAATTGTATTTTAAATAAATTATTTTAATTAATGGAATGACAAATATTTTAAAATTAGTATAAAAATATTCATAATAAGTAACCACCAAACATTAAATTTTCCACAGGATAGCTCTTGAGTATTTTAAATTATGTCATGCATATTATATTAAGACACCCAATGCTTGCTGTCTTGTCTCTGTGGTTCGCTGCAATGCTTCAAACCACACAGCACAGGTTCGAGAGTTTCCATGCCAAAATAGAATACAGTAAGACACTCATTGGTGGTTTTTACTATAATATATTTGATAGAATATTAATTATATTTTTAATACTATCTTTATTTTAAATTCATTAACTACGAAAGAGATCATATAATGCTAATTTCAAAATTCTTCCTTTAAACAAGAGTAAAGGTTAAAGTTTCAAATTGAATTAAGGAGGGAAACAAGTTTACATGTAGGGGGTACAAATACAAGTTTATTATATCTTTAAATAAAATTAACGATTTAATTATTTTTTTTATTTTAATGAGGTGATTAAAAATGCCTTGTAATAGAAATAGGAAAAAGTACGTGACTGTATATAAGTATATTTATTTTATTAAAATATTATTGTAGCACTGCTAATAAATAACTCAAATTGGCCGGAATTTATGGACTACATGCGGATAATATTTTCTTGAAGTGTCCTTGAAGGGACAAAAAAGAATGGTATTATTTTGAAAAGGAAATTTATTTTTTTAATGCGTGAATGGAACTCTAAAATCAATATTTATTTTAAGTCAGTTCCTTGACGACGCAAGTATTGATTGGCTTTCTACATTTAATTATATAATTAGTTGAGACTGAGTGTGTGTTTGGATTTATACAATTCATCGCGCATTAATTTAGATTTGACCGGACAAGCTAAATATTAATGAGCCTTTTAAATTTGACGGCTAATGGGGAGAAGGTGATGATTAACACTTAGAATTGCTGATAAACAGATCTTGCATACATTCACTCTCTTTCAAGTCGTAACCCCATTTTTCTTAATTATTTTTATTAATCCTATTTGTAAATTATTTTTAACATATTTCATCATAATTAATGAAAATTTTAAATTTTATTAACTTTGTTTTAAAATTTAATAAGTTTTTATTTTTATTCTTAATAAATGCTCTTAAATTTCATTAATAGTATTTTTATTTAAAGCATTTAATAAGAGCAAAACTATAAAAATAAACATTAAAAATTGACAAATGCCTTATAAATAGAATTAAATTTTTTTTTTTTTTACCTTATAAATAGGATCAGAAAACTATATTGTTATTTAAACGCAATGTTTTATATGAAAATTTAGTGAAGCATGCAAACAAGATGGTAGTCTATGCGATGGATAACACAAACAGGCTCAAAACACACACACACACATTTGTCCATAGTTATAGTGATAACAAATATTAATTAAACATTTCATGTATCCAATATTATATCATTATTAACGTGAAACGTTTATCAATAAATGAGTTATAAGCGTTCTTTAAATTTAGAGGCATATCCTGACTTTAACTAGCTCCAAAACCCTACTCATATATATATATATATATATATATAATTTTATAATTTTTTAATTGGATAAGAAAATATTATTAAGCAACATTGGGTACATCACTTACTAGAAAGGCAGACAACGGACATTCTATTTGTTTATGTTTTGGCCTAGAAAATATCTATTTTTTGACGTCATTATTTATTCACATTGTTTCGAACGAAAACTTTTATACCCGACAAAGGCATGCAGACAATATAGTAGCCTTCACAATGAGTAAAAAACAAAGAGAAAAGAAAGAAATTATCACTAGTAAAGGTCTGGCCGTGAATGAAATTGTTGAATTTGAATATCCTGGTTCTTCAATATCAGAGGCTTTGTCCTGTTTCGCTTATCAAGCACAAGTCAAGAACAAAACTTATACTCACATTAATGATATATTAGCAAGCCATTTACAAACAAAGCACCACAGCTGATGAAGAAAGAGGCTTCTCTGTTGGAGTTACCAGAACCCATCTTGGATAACATTCTTGAGAGACTTTCACCAAGTGAACTATGTAGCATGTCCGAGGTGTGCACTTGTTTGATGCGCAGATGCAGGAGTAATGAAATGTGGGAGAAACACGTACAACGTAGGTGGGGAAGACTACTTGGTGATGTGGCTTACAGAGAGTGGCAATTTCATACGATGAGGATAATGAATAAAGAAAGCCCCTCGCTACAAACTAATCCAAATGGATTATTAGGATCATTTACTGGTGCTTGGCCTTCTTTATGCCTTTGTTCGTATTTGGAAAATCCTGGAAACTTGACTAGTTTATTACTATCGACTTATTCCAACATGGCTCTGTATATTTCTCTTCAGAGTGGTCGATTTTGGTTCCCTGCTCAAGTGTACAGGATGACACCGGCAAGTTATTTTACTCATTCACTCTTCTTTATGTTGTAATCTTTATAATTTCTGTGCCTAAATTGAAGTGTTAGATCATATGATTATTACTTTCAGCTTCCAAGGCGATATAATGCACTGCTCAGCTATGATCATATTTCAAACACCTTTCAAGCAAGGTAATGTTGAGATATAGTTGGGTTGTTGCTCAAAATTTATAAATGAACTTCCTTAATTAATCTAATGCTTTACCTTTATTCTTAAAAATCTTCAAAAGTTTTTTTTTTTTCTTTGGTATAGGTGTCCAACAGACGAGTGGCGACTGATTGAGAAAAATATAACATGGGATCTGCTGAGATTATTGCCCCCAATTGACGCTTCTCCATATACTCTTTACATGTCCAATAATAATGATCTGAAACCCGGTGATCATGTTGAGGTCCAGATGAGAAAAGGCAGCCGAATTTATGGTAATAGTTTTTTTTTTTTTTGTAATAATAAATTATTCACCATCTTATCTGTGATTGAGTTAGTATTGATCAATTTCATTTCATTTTACTCGAAATTAGCAAGTATTAACCCTAAATTACGAATGAGATGTAGATTGGTACTATGGTGTTATTGGTCACTTGGAATCATGTGATGAAGATAGGAATGATCATTGCAGTTGCCAACATAGCGGTAAGTAGAATCATTTACATACAAGTAAATTAAAGTAGTGAAGGTAGGAGGAGGGTGTGTGTAGTGAATGAAACAGATGATTAAACTTTGATTGTATGTTATTTTGATAGAAACTTTGGTGGTGGTGTTCAAACTACAACTTGGAGATCACTCACGATCGAAATCAATATTAATGAACAGACAGATGAATGGGGAACAAAAAGCTAGACTGTGGAGATATGGAGGAATTAGAAAACTGGAAAGCTTGGAGGATATTCGAAGCTGGAATACCGAATATCCTATGCAGTTCAAATCTTAGGCTTGCCCTTTTATTTAATTTATAGTATCGTTGAGAATATAGTTTAAAGCTTAACCGTTTTATTCTATATATGTGAGATGGTTTGTTTAGCTTGAATATATGTGAATTGTAATCACAGTCCTTGGTTTGTTTATGCTCTATCTCTCGATGATTTCAATATTTCTCCTTTATATTTATGTTTATTTTTTATTTGTTTATTATTTGCAAGAAAAATTTGAAGTCTCAAGATTTAATGATTTATAGTTGGTCCCCTTAATTTCTTCTCTAGTAATACGAGGAATTCATATTTATCATGAATATGGTATAATAATTATTAATTTTATATCGAATGATATTAGTACATTCTTTTTTTACAAGAATATTTTGTGCATTCTATTGTATCAATTATCTCATTGCCATAACCGTTGATAAAATATATGCATGATTTCATATAATTAAAAAAATGATACTAATAAAATTCATAATATATTGTCTTATATTTGTAATTTATTAAAGAGAAGTGGATTTTTTTATCTTCTAACCTTATATAACATTTCAATTTAGTCATTTAATATTATACAGTATCTTTGCAATCTTCTAACACTAAAACTATTATAAATCATTTAGTCTTAATGATTATTTTTGTGTCAGTTATTGTTATTATAAAAAATCAAATTTAATATATCAAAATTTGGTAATGTTCTATTAACATTTAAAAGTCTAATATTGACATTTTTTTTCTTAATAAGACTAATGTTATTAGAGTTAGAGAATTAAAAATATATTTTATAAAATGAAAAGATAAACCTTGTATGAAGTTAATTGAAAAATTAAAGCTACACTATCGCCTTTATTAATTATAGTTGAAAGTTTATCGCGCGCGCGCGTATTTAAATCACACCAGTTCAGGTGTTTAGTTGAGATATCCTTACATAACTGTGTTCTCCATTTAAACTATGCTCGTTTTTTAGTTTCTCGCTTCCACGCCTTCTCATATGTTATCCCAATTCTCATACATAATTGTTTACCGCAGATAGGAGATTATATAAGGATATATCAGCCAATTTAATAACGATATGACGAGGTTCCAATTTGGGCGCATCTTGTTACGGCAGCACGATCCAACTGGATTGGCCGGCATTTTACGGAAGGAAATGACAAGAATAATCGACATAGAATTCATCTTTTACATTCTTTACGTTGTTGTCACGTTGAACAAGCTGTCAAGCTTCATCAACAAATTTTTGGGATCAGAAATTTCGTTCAGCCCAGGCTAGAATATGTATTCTTGATTTTTGTGTTAATTTTTATTATAAATTACCACATATTATATTCTATGGCATGTACAGGAGAAATAATAATTTAAAAATTTCTTGGAGTCTGTACTTATTCTTTTAACATATTTAAACCATATTAAAATATGCAGAGAAATAATAGACCATCAAAAAAATTGAAAACTAAGTAAAGTTACATATATAGAAGCGATTGTTCCAATGTGAGAAAATGTTAAAAAAAAAAAAGTCTAATGAGCTGCAACATTCATTTCAAGCTTGGGAGTATTGAGACTCCTATTTTATATTTCATATTACTTGACGATTACGTGTCACAATTGAATACATTATTATGGCCTTGTGAATTCTAATAATCAAGCAAGAATGCATGGGCTGCGATTCATGTATAGTGCTGTTATATTGCTTCTCCTGCTTACACGCTAGCTTATCAGAAACACGCATAGAAAGAAGTTGTATGTCATGAAGAAGAAAGCGACAAGTAATAATTGCTTTCTAGATTTGCCAGAATCAAGCTTAGACTGCATTCTAAAACATCTTTCACCATCGGAATTGTGTGTAACCTCGGAAGTATGCGTGATCCTGAGGAAGAGATGCTCAGCTGATGATCTCTGGAAACAACACATCCAACGAAAATGGGGTCCACTCTTAGGGGAGGAGGTTTATAAGGAGTGGCAAGTGCATATAACATCAGCAAAACAAGATAACTCTCTGGAGATCGATCACAATGGATCAGTGGGAACTATTAGTGGTGATTGGCCACGTCTCTCTCTCGGTTCATATTTGGAAGACTCTGTAAGGCTTAGAGGTTCATTATCAAATCATTTCATGAAAGCTTTATATTTTTCTCTAGAGAGTGGCAAGTTCTGGTTTCCGGCTCAATTTTACAGGGTAAGATTGCTTTATTTCTTACAAACTTTTGGATTCTTCTTAAAAGAAGAAGAAGCACAGTCTCTATAACTGATGTAAAATTAAGTGTTGCAGGGAAATAGATTTGTATCTTGCTGCGATGGCTTACTTAGGTATAACGCTAAATCTGATTCCTTTCAAGTACGGTAAGCAGCAAGCTCTTTCTCTGCGAGACTGTAATTGATCTCCTGTAAAATTATTACCAAGTCATGACTTGGTCTTTACTAAGACGAATAAATATTAATTTCGGACGCAGACGTAAAGAAGGTGGTTGGCGGTTACAAGAGGAAAACATAGGATGGGATATGGTGAGAGCATCACCTGTTGAAATTCCTCCAAATGTTCTTCATGTCTCTGATCTCAGCAATTTGAAACCCGGGGATCACATTGAAATCCAGTGTAGATCATCAAGACAAGCATCTTATGGTACGCTTGCCTCTAAACTATGATGTTTAATTATTAATTAAAAAGTTGATCATAACTTGTAATGGTTTTGCTGGAAATCAAGTTAATTATTAGTAAATATGAGAATATGTTATAGACTGAGAAAGAGTTCATAAATAAAAGGTCCATGAAGCTATCATTGCTTCAATAAGAATCTTGTTCTTGATTTAATTTCTCTTTAATTCCTCAATTTTAAGATATACACCCTCTGGTTTATTTATATATAAGTTACTTTTAACAAAAATTAATTTATTCCTATTAAATGCATCATCTTCAAATTAATTTTTCTCTCTTAGGTAACATTCTAATTACTTTACTTTTGAAAACTTTTGAAAGGTTAAAATTGAAAGAAAGTAAATTAATTAACGATCTATTTTTTATACAAATTAAAGTCACTAATAAAAAGGATCACATATTTCTTCTACAACGAGGCTTGTATGTAAAAGCGAAAGGAGTACATGATTTGCGAGAGAGCGTTGGTACCAATTGTCTTATGATATGCAGATTGGGCGTATGCTACCATAGGACACCTGGAAACATGTGATGATGAGAATGAGAATAATCATTGTGGGTGCGGCCGAAATGGTAAGATTGTATAATGGCTTTGTGGTTTTAAGGATTGTGTACTTGAAATGGTGCTGTGGGCATCAATTATATTGTTAAGTGTGTGACAGACTTGGTGGTGGTGGAGTTCAAACAGTATGCTCCAAGATCTCGACTGAGACGCCTAGTGCTTAGCAGAAACAACTACCGGGAGCATGATGGTGGAATGGCTTGCTTGTTTGGAGGAATTAGGAAAATTCATAGCCAACAACACATTGATGCCTGGACAAAAATCTTTCCTCCACATCACGTACCTAAAATTTAGAGTTTGACCTCATTATATTGCTTATCTCTGGCGAGACTCCAGGCAAATAGGATAAATAATCTAAATGCTTCATGAATATGCGTTGAAAGGAGGAAGAGAAAAGGGTTAAGCCCCCATTCATGTCCACGAACTTTTCACGTATGGTTCTGCGGGTGTATTGAATTCGATTTTGGATCATTTTTGTCAAAAAATTATTTTTACATACTTATTGAATTGGCATATGATACTAGATTTTATACATGCTGCGTTACTCTATTTGACAGGTGCCTGACGTTATTATATGTGGTGGGGCTTTCCCCCGGCTCCGCCACGGCCAATTGATGATCCCCTAAGGTAAATTATATTTTTTTATTTTTACATAGACATGATTTTTCTTATCAAAATCATTTTCAAATCTTGCTTGCTATTTTTATATCTCTTTATCCATGTTCTTGTATGTTTTCATAGGATATCAAACACAAGGAGTCAATCACATCGAAGAGGAAGGTGTACTGCGACTTCTTGATGAGTTCAATCAATGTTAGTTAAATTCCATTTCAACCAAATGTTAGCTCCGTTTATTTCAGTGTAATATTAATCCTTCGTTCATATTGGCCTATTTAACTTCTTTTTTTTTTTTTTGGAGAACTAGAAGAAAGGCATCTGTACACAGTTGCTTCCAATTTTTCAGTAAATAATCATACACACACACAGACACTTAAATAGGCTAACACTGATCTCATTCATGTTCGTCTCACTTCGGAGTACAAAATAGTGCCGTTTAATTAAATCATATATATAAGAAAGTCAAGTAAATTGTTTTCTACAAAAAACAAAAAACAAATAAGCTAAATATAAGCCTTAAGAGTTAATGAAATGGATATAATGATAAAAAGATGATGATTAATAAACAGATCCTATGTTCACTCACTCTCAAGTCGTCTTCCCTTCTTCCATCTCTGAATCGAGCAAATATTAGCACGACACAAGGATTCCTAACTTTGTCTTATATTAAGGAAGGCAATGAATTTAGCTTCTCATCATATATTGATGTCTCTATATTTGAAGCCCAATCACAAAAATTTAGATTAAAATAATATGGGGAAAAATATTAACAAAGTGTTGATCTCTTGAGGAGTTTTCCAACATCATTAACTGCATGATACTGTAATTTTGCCTGTTAACTTTAAAAAATAGGCAAAAAAAACTCTAAAATATATATATAATGTAAGTTAGATGTCAGTTAACTAAAAACCGTGGGGTCTCACATGTTGTATTGGGAGTAAATAGATTGAAGGCAAAAATATCCATAATGTACATATTATAGTATAATTTTGCTCATCAATCCTATAAAAAGCAACGCATAAATCTCAAATCCATAATAGAGAAGTATATATGAGCAAGCATTAATTGTGAATATGTAAAAAAGATTTATATTTTTTCTAACCCCAAGTACAAATATAAAAATAAATGTGTTCAAATTTATCCTGATTGGCAAAAATCTTAGATACATTTTATTCCATCGCACATCACTATCACATAAATACAATTCGTATTAGAATCCATTTAAAAATACAATACGTCCAAACTTTCCC